TATAATATAAATATATATTATATATAATATATTTTTTGAGATCGAATGAATCTTTTCAAATATATACTATAATATTATAATAAATAGTAATGTTTATAAATGTTCGATACTTGATATAATGTCATTCGATTACTCACAAAAATATACAACGATAGCACACAACCGATGCACACCATACGATAACGGTACAAAGCGCATAAGAGAAAATAATTAACCCGAAGTCGGCACGTCGAAAAAGCTTAAACGAGTTTCCGCAAATCTTGCTCGTTCGTTTACTCGTTCGTTTACTCGTTCGTTCACTCGCAACCGGTCGCGAATAGTAGCGATAACGAGCATACATGTGAGAAAAAAAAAAGAAATAAAGAGAGAGAGAGAGAGAGGGTGTGGCGAAAAAAAAGAAAGAAAGAGATACCGGTGTCGGGGTAGTGGATTCTCTTAAACACGGAAATATCAAGAAGTAAATTTTGATAAAGTACTCAACTAAGCGTAACACTAACAAGAACTTTTGTTATTCTATTAAATTGAAGATACAACTCGAGCAGAATAAAATCCAATGTACGATGATACCCCATAACACGACGGATTACGAGATATATATATCTAAGAAATATTCATTTCAATAATATCAAAGTAAAAACATTTATATCTAACGATTCGATTTAAACAATTTGAATCCTAAAACTCTTCAAGAAAAAACACAACGATTCATTTATTTATTTGAATTAAATTATAACGAAAGAAATATTTTCAAATAAAGAAAATCGAACGAATATATAGATACGTTATAATTAAATATTTGTAAAAACTTATGTAAGATAACAATAAACAATTATTATTATTAAAAAAAGTGTGATATCGTAAAAATTTAGATATGATTCTTATGAAAGACAGAAATCGAATGAAAGATTTCTTTATATATATAATAAAACGAAGATAAATAAAAGATAATCTAAGGTGAGGATAATACAATAACATTATTTGCAAAAATGTTACACAGCCTTCAGCTTTCCCAAGCAAACAGCGATGACGTAGTCGACGTTCCATCTAATGACAACATCGGCAAAGATGCAAGATGCTATTTTGGATTCTCATTGCTCAAGGCAATTTTCACACTGCTCTGATTGTCATTTTCTCTATTTCTTTTTCCCTTTTTTTTATTTTTCTGCTCCTTTACGTCTAACTTTCCCTTATTTCCGTAACACAATAACTTTATTCCTTGAGTTTTGCAATTAATAAAAATCAAATGACCGAAAATAGAAGAAAAAACAAATCTTCTCGTATCTGAAATGATGAATTATTAATTAATTTATAATTTTTTAATTAAATAATAATTTAATTAAATAATAAATCTTGAGATGATTATAAAAACTTTTATCGATTTGTCGCGTATCGAATATCGTTGATAACTTTCAAATGATGAATTATTTTAATTATGANAATATCGTTGATAACTTTCAAATGATGAATTATTTTAATTATGAATTATATTATTAAATAAATAATAAATCTTGAGATGATTATATAAAAACTTTTATCGATTAGTCGCGTATCGAATATCGTTGATAACTTTAAAGGATACTGTTTATTTTATATCCTTCTCTGATCCGGATGACTCGTATGACTTCCTCTGCCCACACATCTTATCCTTTTTTTCTTTCTTTCTTTTTTATTTTCTACGAAATAATCTGCGATGTCATACCGTGGGCATTAAAACTTCCGCGAACGAACGCCATTAAAATTCTTAGTACGTCAAAACGAGTACCGTGTGATTCACGACCTACAAACTCCTATGACTGATGCATCTCTTACGATCTATTCTTGTGCAAACACGATAATGATATTTCATTTATCAAACGTGTTTAACATTTATCATTCGTTGCTAATTGTCCAAAAAAGAAAAAAGGAGAGCACACAAGCGAAACAACGCTGGTGAGCACGCAATTTCTATTTTATTTTGTTTATATTTGATAAAACTATTATCAAATTTATTTTCTCTTCGAATATAATAAATAATGAACCGTTCGGAATAAAAAGACAATACCAAAATGAAATAAACGAGTATAGTACTCGCGTATTCCCACGTTTCGTGTAGATGTAAACTAATGATTCCCGCGAAAACGGTATCTTGGAAACGAGTACACGAGTACGTACGAATCAGTAATGAAATATCACGGAAGAGAAATAATTAAAAAAAAAGAGAATGAAAGAAGGTTGGTTGCAGGTGTTGGTTAAAGATCGAATGCACAGGTTTAGATGATCAAAAGAAAGGTATTGTGTATACAAATTAAAGGAAGTCACTTACTCTCCCAAGAAATTGGCCCTTGTAATATGCCTTCCCTTGAACAGGATCGACAACGTAATCGGTTTCCTGTTCGTTCGAATTGTTCCAATGCGAGGATGAGTTTGAAGTAGATGCTCCAGGTGTGCTAATTGCACGCACGAGAGACGAAGATGTCGTTCGTACAAACCTGTTGGCGTTTGAGACAACAGTGGGAGGAACGAATGCAACGTTGCTTATAGACGAGGAAACATCCTGACCGATATTATTATTGTCCTGTCCTCCAACTATTCCTGTTACCGTTGTTCCTCTAACTACAGAAGAAGGTACCCTTCGATTAGATGATTTTCCATTGGTGTACATAGTTGTCTCATCATCTCCAGCTGTACTTTCTCGTCTCCGATTAAGCCCATCTTCGAAAATTTGATTACGAGAGTGTCGGGAATCGTTATTGGATTCGATGATAGATGATGATCCACCGGTGACGTTGCCACCACCACCACCACCACCATTACCAGTTTGTCGTCGACTTTTTCTTCGTACGAGACTCCGCAACGAAGCGGAACTTTTCGATAAACTTTGCCTTGGTCTGGCATCTATGGTGGATTTACTACTACTACTACCACTACTACCTGTCGATCCTGAATTATTATTATTATTATTATTATTATTATTATTATTACTTCTCCCGGTATCCTCCATTTCTTCTGGGTATCTAGTTGAATTGATCGATCTAGAGATCAATCTTGATTCCGGTAGATAACACCCTGTCGTAGAAACAATCGGTGGACTTGTCATTCTTGGTGTCGGTGGTGACGACGCCGAGGATGATCCCGAAGAGGACGAGGATGCTGATGAAGATGACGGTGACGAGGCAATCATCGAATGTGGCGTCACGTCGTCGACGTGTCGCGATTCGATCGTACTCGGTAATGCTGGCATATTTTTCTCTCTTTATCTTTCACAACAATAACAATAACAAGAACAATAACAATAAGCAATCTGTCGTTGCTTATAATCGTATAAACGATGATCAAGAAAGATAGGATACTTTAATTATCGGTGTTACCAAAGTGTATCTAAACACGATCGAGATGAACGAAGTGTGAATGAAGCAAAGTAAATTATATTAGATCGCGTTCACGCTCTTGCTAGGTTCCTTATACTTATCAACTTGTAAAATTTTCCTATTCCTCACACCGGTGCCCTTACAATTAGCTAAGGACAAGAACGAACCGAGACAAATTGATGATCGTAGGTTTATGTATACGTGCACGTTGCCTTCGTTCGCAGCCACACACCGTAGCATTAAGAAGAAGAAGAAGAAGAAGAAGAAGAAGAAGAAGAAGAAGAAGAAGAAGAAGAAGAAGAAAAAGAAGAAGAAGAGGTGGTGCACCCCGAGGGCCGATGGCCCCGGTGGTTCTGCTCCTGTTGCCTCTTTTCCTCTCGTAATAGTCGTTCTCCTGAACTTTCTTCCTTATCCGCCTGAAACCCTGAACGTTTATTCGCCTCGAGAACCGCTGGCATCTTATACGAAGCCCTTCCAGCCCTACATTCGAAATCCTTTTTTCCCTTTTTATTATTATTATTATTATTATTATTATTATTATTATATTATTCTTCTTTTTCTTTTTATCGAGAGAAGAGTCAGGACTTATTTTGTTCTTCTTCTTTTGATTTCTCTCCTTTCCCTTGTTCCAAGGGACAACACGTGCACGCGAGAGGAGAAGAGATCGTTCGATAAAGGGCACTTCTTCTTCTTCTTCTTCTTGTCGTCGTCGTCGTCGTCGTCGTCGTCTCCTCGTTGTCAAGCAGCGCGCCGAAGGGACACGACGTGTTGTATCGAGCGTCTTGCTTGTCGTCTGGTCCTCGACAAAAAGTTATACATACACTCCTTTTTCTTCCCTTCTACCCTTCTTTTTCTTTTTCTTTTCCTTTTTATTTTTCTCTCTTCGTCGAAGGTCTTAAGACCGAAAAAAGAATAGCACACGCGATTGGTCGAATTAACGAGGGAGAGAAGAAAGAGATTATTAGCAAGGAATGACTGGGAAAACAGAACGAAAATTAACATAGACCCCCTCGTTTCACGTCCCTACTGACACTACTCGGACGGGCACGATTCGTGCCGAGCGGCACCCTCGAATCCCCCACTTTGTATCCGAACATGCTACCCCTACTCCTCGCGCAGGACTGTACGCTGATACGACGAACCTTCGACTCTTCTATCTTTTTCATTATACCTTTCATTTAAATATATAATTGATGATAACAATCATTAGCTTATATTTTATATATTATTAATATGTCGATAATTATCATTTCCAATGAATTTTTCTTATTGATATTGCAGAGAAAGTAAGAATGATTCATGAACATTATTTCTACGCCAGCTCGTTTAGACTATAAAAAGTAAAAGGATATATTGCATAGAAAAATATTCGAAAAAAATCCAATTGAATGGTATTCATCGTTGTACACAAGGATAACAAAAGTATCTCTTGTAGAATGTTTGATGTGGAGGCAGGAAACAAGGTCGGCAAGGGACCTGGTGGATTTCTGTAGCGTGGTAAAACGTTAAACGGCAAATCTACGAGGTGATTATCGTGAGAAAGCGCATTGTTCATAATATCACGCTAAAAGAAAATGCGAAGGTTTGCCTCGCGTGTGTGTATATGATGCACTCACTGTGCGAAAGAGGGAAAATCTGTGTAACCTTTTCTCACGAACGTTTTGATCTCGAGAACCTCCCTTCGTATTCACCTCCCTTTTTTCCCCCTTTATTCTTCTTATTTTTCTCTTCCACCTTTCGTTTTCTGTTCTGAAAAATTTAAAAGGAGTCAATCTCCGTCATCTTTCAAACGCATTATTTCGCGCGATCCGATTTCAAACACATTGGCTTGGACATATCGAACATCTGTTTAAATCTATCCTCTTTCGAAATCGGATGCTTCAATGCACTTGCACATTTCCAAGACCCATTAAGCACCCAATCGAAATCCTTCGTAACATTCTTTTTTCTCGCGGGTGTTTCGCACGCCAGACGATTTTTAATATTAAAATGTTAAGAAAAAAACATAAGAATCAACTTGTAGAAGAAATTCGATCGTATGTCAATCGATCAATCGTTAAAGCGCTTGCCAACTGGGTGAAGGTTACTTCGATCAATGAAATCAAAGTTTCCATTGAACAAATCCGTTTGAATACGATTGATAACAATCTTCTATATAATTAACGATTATCTATAGAGAGAGATATATACAGTTGCCTGTTACGAACTAAAACAATTATAAGACCATTTTAATACAAATAATCGTACAATCGTTTAAAATACTTCTCGAAACAATTCGCTTGTCAAATTTACGCAAAAAGGGTATACCTAATCTCTCGTACGGCACTGCATTGACTATTCCCTTCGTTGTCCTCTCTCGTATCCGATTTACCATCCTCTTTCTATCCTGTTCCTCCTTCTTGTTGTACTTTCTCGTTTATTCTCTCGTTCGTTCAACGAACAGCACCGCCATGAAAGCCGCAAAACGCGCATCATCTCGTCGTTCCTTCGGTCGTTCACACACACACACATACACCTTCTGTATACCTGTTTTCAACATTTCAAATACGCTTTAACTACTCGTCTAAATATAGTAAAGATACACATAGAAATGAACAACTTCTAGCTTTGCTCCTAGAGATGAGATTTGTTTTGCTTTCCTTTTCCTCTCTCTCTCTCTCTCTCTCTCTCTCTCTTTCTATTCACCCTGTTCTTTTCATTAGAAAAGAAATACAAAACAAAATAAACTTCCTCGTGTACTTGTCGCTGTCCGGATGCGGTCATCCTTTTCTTTTTTATTTGTACGATTATATATACCTCCGTTCATCGAAGATCCAGTTTCAACTATCGTTCTTTTCGATTCTCTTTTTCAAATCCAATATTATCAAAGATAATCCATTTTACTATGACATAAACTTGAATGCAAAATACCTGAAATTATCCAATTGGAATAAATGAAATTAATCAAAATGTAAATCATTCATTATTCATATTGCATCTATGCAAAAACTTAATGGTGTGAACTATAATTGAAAATCATTCTTCTTAAAAAAAAAAATGATGATAATAAAAAGTTGCATAACAAAGATTTATTATTTACTTGAAATTTTGCATAGATCCAATGAAATATGACTATAACTAAAAAAAATTCGGTATATATTGAATATGCTGATATAAATTCATTCATGTGTGGCGCGTTATTTAAGAAGACCTTTTTTTAGATAAGAGAAAGAAAACGAATTGCCAGGTGCAACGTTGTGTTGCACAAAAGTGCACCTGACTTCGTAGAAAAAGGAACAAAGAATTGAAATTTTCGCCAGCGCTATCTGTCGTTTATCATCGGAACTATTTACAATGAATAATAGAATGTCTAGTAGAAATAGAAGGAAGAGAAAGGGGAAATAGTTTTGTCTATGTTGCAGTTTCTGCATAGAAAGCGATGACGTTGCGTTGGTCTCACATAACAGACCTTGCTATTACTTCGAACAGACTGGATTAAGTGCAAGAAACACAATTGATCCTATTTAAAAGATAAAAAATAATTAGTATTCGAGAAATCTTGGAATATATTTATTATTCTTATATTCATTGGATCGTTAAATTCATCGAACTTATATCGCACGTTGTACTGTTTTTGTGATATGTTTTACCATTATTATACCTAACCTTTTTATACGCACGTCGTCCAGGGGACAGGGAGGAAGAAACGTAGATAACATTATTATGTATTACGTTAACTGGTTCGAAGTTCACGTTCCATACTTATCTTATAATGATATTGCATTTGTTTTGAGGTCACTTCCTTGTTCTTCTTTCGTTAACGAAAGTACAATGCTCGAATTATGTGAATCTAATTTACATCGTGCAGATGATTCTCTTTCAATGATATTAATATAAAGATATTATCTCGATCTCGATTTAAATAACTCGATTATTTCTTATCATCGAGTAACAAAGATGTACCAATGGAATAATACGAGTATCGTTAAAATATCGATGACAAGAGATATTATTAAAAATGAATTCCCTTCTGAAATCAGTGAAATCCCTAACAAACAGAAGAAATATATTAGTGAGAGAGTCCCTTCAAAAACAATTAAATACAAGCGTGATGGAGATGCAAAGTGCACCAGGTGTCGTAGAAGAAGGACCAGTTGGAAATTGCGAAGAAGCAATGACATTATGTTCCGTATTGGAAGCTATATTCTTACATGGACTGAAGGACAGTCTTTTGAATAGAGTAACAGAAGTTCTCAGTGGTCCTGATTTCGAAGCTATGCCTCAACCAAGTTTCTGGGGCCCTTTACTAGTATTCTCTCATCGCCAAATTATTGATCAGATCCAAGCATTAACTCAAGTTTCCACTGAAGTGGGTTATTGCAGAGCATGGATACGACTGGCCTTAAATGAAGGTCTTTTAGCAAGTTACTTGTGTTCTATAAGAAGAGATAATTCTGCTTTGAAACCATATTATGATCGTTCTGCCTTCATAAGAGATGCTGACCTAATAGATGTTGCTCAACGTTTGGTAGAAAGCTTGGATTACATACACTTTGAACTGGCTTGCAATAGTAGTCTATTGAATTTTTGGTCGAGTACTCCTCTGCTTTTAGCTGGTATATGGTCACCTCCTATGAAATCTTGTCCTGTATTTAATGCAGTAGATATTGCAAAAACCATAACTACGGATTTGACGGATAATGATAATCTTGAAGAAGTAGAAACTGCGAGTTCTATAGGTAGTTTAGGTTCCTTTAATTCTTCTCAATCTGCTTTAAATAATTTAGTTGGTATTTCGGAAGATGAAGCTCTTAAAATCATTTTAAAAGATAAAATCTCTAATAATCATCATACTACACAGTATAGAAATGGAAGTCCAACGCATACACCTAAACAAAAAAAGATAGAGAAAGTGAATACAGAAAAAATAGAAGAAACTACAAATGAAGTTACACAAAGTGTATCAACTAGTGGGACCCCTAAAAGGGATGTAGAAACTATGACAACTGACATCAATACCTCAGTTATTCAAGATGATCATCAAAATATTAGCCCTCAAGAAAATAATAATGCTTGCACCGATAATATGTCTACTACTGTAGGAAATTCATTATTTGGAAGATTAGGATGGTCAACTTCATTTGAAGATTGTGAATCTTCTATGACCTCATCTGTGATATCTCATGGTTCTGGAATAGATGCTCCTCGTACTCCGGGTGATGGACCAACCTATGATGCTCTTATTCAAAGCTATCATACTAGCGGTAATGTAATAGTACCGAATTTACAAGAATTTTTAAAAAAATATCCAAAGAAAGAATCCATCGATGAAGAAATTAAACCTCCAACTGTAACTAAGGTATAAACGTAACAATATTATTATTACACACACACATTATCAAAGTATATAATATTATATATTACAATTTATTTACAGATTGTTATAAATTTTGATGAACAATTAGGAAAATTACCAAGAGAAAAAGGCCTTGACATGCAAAATTACAGCTGTTTCAATTGTGGTCATGCTATCGGTATGACGTTTTCTAAAGCTCACGTCTGTTCTTTTTCTGCCAGTTATTATTGTGCAGATTGTATGGCACAAGGAGAATATTTAATACCATCGCGTATTGTTCATAATTGGGATTTAAAACGTTATACCATTTGTCAAAAAGCTGCAGAGTACCTGAAAGATTGTTCTACTTTATTGGATTTAAAAACTTTGAATCCAAAAATATATATGGCAGTGGATGTTATGGCACAATTACAATCTTTAAGAATACAATTGAATTTATTGAGAGCATATTTGTTTACTTGCCGTGAGCCTGTTATTGAATCATTGCAAAGAAAAGTTGCTCCCAGAGATTATTTATATGAACATGTCCATCAGTATTCTGTTTCTGATCTTCTTGATATACCTAATGGTACTCTTGCTCAACAATTACAAAAAGTAGTTGAATTTGCACGAAATCATGTGATAAATTGTTGGCTTTGCAGTCAAAAAGGATTTATTTGTGAAGTATGCAATAATCCTAAAGTTATTTATCCCTTCGATATGGATTCAACGTTTAGAGTAAGTATATAAATTTCACTAATTGTTTCATGAAAAATGTCAAATCTATAATAATAAACATGAAATTATTTCAGTGTGGATTATGCAATGCAGTGTTTCATGCAGATTGCTTAAATGCATATAAACCATGTCCAAAATGCGAACGTCGACGTAAAAGAATGGATCTTCCCCTTTTAGACATGGAATGTACAGAATTACCATCTGAATCTAAATTAACGTCTGAAAACAATATTGACTAATGTTAATATAATCAAGATTTTTTTTCTTATCCAAAATTTATTAATATAATTACTAAGTTTACTCTTAGGGAAGTTGTTTTTTGGACGGGTTTAATTAAGATGAACACTATATTTATCCGTTGAACGTTTCGTCTCTATTTGAG